CCCTCTACTGGAGGAGAAAGACCAAGAACCTGCTGCAGGAGCGGAACGAAGTACGGCCGAGGCCGCGCGGCAGCTCCAGACGCAGCAGGGACAGCACCAGCACCCTTAGCGACAGCACTAGCGCCACCCACACCTCCAGCGGCGGGACCAACAGCAGTAGGCCCAGCACCAGCGCCCTCAGCAGCTCCAGCACCAGGAGGACCCTCAGGTCCAGCAGCTCCGGGACCGGTAGCACCCGCACCCTCGACGGTCGAAGAAGCTCCAGCACCAGCTCCAGCAGCACCTCCAGACTCAGCAGCACGTCTCCAGCGGCGAGCGAACCACTCGCGCAGCTCCTGTGGAGAGAGGGGCTCCCGGCGAGACGCAGCAGCAGGAGAAACCGCAGGCTCAGCAGCTCCAGACGCAGCACCCCCAGGCTCAGCAGCTCCCAGCTCAGCACCCCCAGGCTCAGCAGCTCCCGACCCAGCACCCCCAGACCCAGTACCTCCAGGCACAGCACCCCCCGGCTCAGCACCCCCAGGCTCCGCACCCTCCGCAGTAGCACCCTCAGGCCCAGCACCCCCAGCAGTAGCACCCCCAGGCTCAGTACCCCTGCGCACAGCACCCCCAGAGTCAGCACCCCCAGGCTCAGCACCCGCAGCAGCACCAGAGTCACCAGTAACCTCGACCGGGTCAACGGCGTCTACCTGGGACACACCTGAGGGGGCAGGAACCTGAGGGGGGAGGGGGTCTACTAGGGGGGGAACCGGCACAAGGAAGTCCGGGGGAGGGGGGAGGGAAGGAGTGCGGTAGGGGAAGAGACGGTAGAAGGGGACTGACTCGTCGAACGTGACGTCCTGGGAGGACAGAACACGACGAGAGGAGGGGTGGTAAAACTGCCACCCTGGGGCGTCAGTGGGGAAGCCAAGGAAGACACAGGGAGCAGCACGAGGGGACAGCTTGTCCGCAGACAAGTCGCGGACAAACGCCCGAGATCCCCAGACACGGAACACAGACGCATCGCCAACCTTCCCCGTCCACAGCAAGGCTGGGGACATCGCAGGCCGAGAGACCCGGGGGTGAAGGTTGAGCTGATGCGCCGCGTACCTCACCGCAAACGGCCACAGAAAATGGGGGGCAGCCGCATGCATCATGGACGTACGAGCGACATCCATGACCATGCCAATGCGGCGCTCAGCAATCCCATTTTGCTGTGGTGAGTCCGGAAGCGTGAAGGTCTGGCGGATCCCCCGTGCACGACACTAGTCCCGCAGAAGGCGAGAAGAGAACTCTCCGCCTCTGTCAGAGTGCAGACGCAGAACAGGAAAGTCCGAGCCGAAGCTCTTCCTGAGCTGGAGACGAGCCTCGCGGATCCAGTCGATCAGCACCTCAGTGACCTCACCCTTGCTGCGCAAGGGGAGGACTGTGGTGTAACGCGAGTAGTCGTCAACCACCAACAGGAAGTAGCGCTCGTAACCCTGCCCACGGACGGGGGCTGGGCCCCACACATCCATGTGAAGCGTCTGCAGGGGAGCCTCTGTCGGGGGGAAGTGGGAGGAGTGAGGAGTAGCCCGGAGGCGACCCTCAACACAGGGGACACAGGAAGGTCCTGGCCCGGAGGGGAGAGGAGGGAGAGACTGGGGAAGACCAGAGACAAGGACACGGGAAGCCATGCTCCGAAGACGGGGCAAGGAGGGGTGGCCAAGACGGTGGTGCCACAGGAGAGTCTCGTGAGACAGGAGGCGACAAGAACAGGGGGCAGACTCAGGACCTGACCGGGACGCAGCAGCAAGCACCTGACCCGACGCAGCCACCTGACCAGACGCAGGGACAGGAGGAGACTCAACGGTCAGGGTGTAGAGACTCGACCCCGGCCGACGCGAGAACGTGGCCAGGTGGCGGCCTGTGCGTGCCTCCGTGCAGTGGGTCACCCGCTGACTCGCAGGAGTGAACTGGTGAACTCCCACATCCTGCAGGTCCGCTCCACTCACCAAGTTCGTAGAGAACGAGGGAAGGTACAGACCCGACAGGGTGCCCGAAGGGGCAGCCGGACACGGGAGGACAGTGGAGAAGTGAGACAGGACAGGACCCCCAGAGGGGTTAGCAAGGGAGACCGCAACCGGCCGGCCGAGCGGCGTAAGGGTAGTGCGGTCTCGAAAGAAGGAGCGAGAAGCTCCGGAGTCAAGTGTGAAAGTGAGGGAGGACGAGGACGACGCAGTACCTGAGAGCGCAGTCTCACCAGTACCTGAGAGCACAGACGCACTGGCACCTAGAGCAGCAGCCTCACAAGCACCTAGCGCAGCAGTACCAATGCCCGGGTCGGGCTGGAAACAACGGTAACCCTCAGTCTCCTCACTATAATCCACAACATACATAGCAGCAAGGATAGCATCAAAATCAAGATCAAAGATCGCTACACCAGCCCTGAGAAGCTCATCCCAGCGAGGGATCTCACTAGCCTCAGGGAACTGCTGACGCCAAGCGTCCGTCAGGCGGCCAAAGCAGTGCTGGGTGGCGTGGGCACCCCCACACTGCTCACCCGCGCGGTCGCCGGAACGAAGAACGTAGGTGCAGGGACCAGTACCCCCACCCCTCTGACGCCCAGCGTACCACTCACGAAGCTGCTGAGGCGGAGGGATGTCCCGCGAGCGCTGCTGCTGCTGCCGTTGCGAGCGCTGGCCACCACCACCTCCGCTACGCTGCTGGGTACCACCTCGACCAGCTCCACCTCCTCCACCACCACCGCCTCCTCCGCTGCTGCCTCCACCGCCTCCACCTCCGCCGCCTCCACCACCGCCGCTGCCTCCACCACCACCGCTGGCACCACCACCACCGTCTCCGCCACTGCTGCCACCACCACCACCACCTCCACCACTAGTCCCGCCGCCACCCCCACTCCCTCCGCCGCCACCGCCGCCACCGCCACCGCCCCCTCCAGCTCCACCCGCACCCTTGCCCCCCTTGCCCTTGCTGGAGCGACGTCTCCCACTAGGGGCAGACGCCGCGCCGACCGACTCAAGACCAAGCAGGTCGGCAGCAGCAGCAGAGGCAACAGAGGGCAGCAAGGGGGAAGGAGAGCACCCCTCAAAGATGGGGGTGCGAGGGTCACCACGAGAAGCACCTACAGCGACTATGCTCTTCTCCGCTGCGAGGAGGGCCTTCTCGAGGAGGTCGACGGTGAGGGTGGTGGGACAGACTGCGAGAAAGTGGTCCCTGACGACGCGAAGGGAGTCAGGGAGGCGCGCGACTACGTAGTAGAGAGCGATGTACATGGGGGGGGGGTTCTTAGCGCAGAACTCAGCAGGAAGGGCGGCGCGGTAGCGAGTGTCACTAGTGCGGAGGTGCGTAATGAGGTCAGTGACAGTGGGAAAGGCGGAGAGGTCAGGAAAGAGGTAGGGAAGCATGAGACGGCTCAGTGCAGCAGTGGCAGGGGAGGAGTAGCGCGCAACTACAGCGTCGTACAAGGTCTGAGCACTCTTGTACTGACTAAAGTGCGCACGCTCAGAGGTAGGGAGGTGACGACGCACAGCAAGACGTGCAGCAGCATCGCGGGTGGCCCACTTAGAGCGGACAGCGGGATCAGCATCAGCAGCAGGAGCAGGAGAGGCGCCAGAGGTGAGGTCAAAGAGAGAAAGGTCGTCAGCCCTGTCGCACTGTAAGAACAGCTGCAGGTCGTCTAACCAGACCTCAAAATCAATGGCGCGACCCTCAGCGTCAAAAGCTAGGACACTAGGGGTAGCCATGGGGACAACAGCGACGCAGTGCAAGCAGTAGGGAAAGAGCTCGCAGTGTCAGTGGGACAGTGCACACCAGGCAGGGCAGGTCGTGCAGCTATCCAGAAAGGCGGCTCAGCGACCGGGCGGCTCGGGTGCACAGCGGCTCGGCTCCCGGGCGGTTCGGCGGCTGGGCGGCTCGGGCGCAGGGCGGCTCGGCTCCCGGGCGGCTCGGCGGCTGGGCGGCTCGGGTGCAGGGCGGCTCGGCTCCCGGGCGGCTCGGCGGCAGGGCGGCTCGGGTCCCGGGCGGCTCGGCGTTGGGCGGCTCGGCTCCCGGGCGGTTCGGCTGCTGGGGCGGCTCGGCCGGGAGATGCAGGGTCGGGGCCGTCAGGTGCAGCGGCGGGTCGACCGGTGCAGTGGCGGGCCGGCAGGTGCAGCGGCGGGCCGGTAGGTGCAGCGGCGGGCCGGCAGGTGCAGTGGCGGGCCGGCAGGAGCAGGCGGCGGGCCGTAGGGTGCGGCGGCGGGCCGTAGGGTGCAGCGGCGGGCCGGCAGGTGCAGCGGCGGGGCCGTCAGGTGAGGCGGCGGGCCGGCAGGAGCAGCGGCGGGCCGAAGGGTGCAGCGGCGGGGCCGTCAGAGGCGGCGGGCCGCTGGGTGCAGCGGCGGGCCGGCAGGTGCAGCGGCGGGCCGGCAGGAGCTGCGGCGGGCCGTAGGGTGAGGCGGCGGGCCGGCAGGAGCAGCGGCGGGCCGTAGGGTGCCATGGCGGGGGCCGTCAGAGGCGACGGCGGGGCCGCGGCAGTAGAGGCGGGGCCGCGTCAGGGGAGGCGGCGGGACCGCGTCAGGGGAGGCGGCGGGGCCGCGTCAGGGGAGGCGGCGGGGCCGCGTCAGGGGAGGCGGCGGGGCCGCGTCAGGGGAGGCGGCGGGGCCGCGTCAGGGGAGGCGGCGGGGCCGCTTCAAGTAGGCGGCGGGGCCGCGAGCAGGAGAGGTGGCGGGGCCGCGTCTGAGGGACAGCGGGGCCGCGAGGGAAAAGGCGACCCGAGGGGTCGCTAAAAAAAGGCGCGCCTCGGGGCGCGCTTCGGTGGGCCCTAAAAAACGGTCCTAAGGCAGGACCCGCTCTATACCATGTGAAACAAAGAAAACAGGAATGAAATGACTAAGTCAAAGTTGGGTACAAATACAACCCTAGAAAGCTGTACCCCATATGTGCTACCCCACTATAGCCTACAAACATGCATCAGTTATAATAATCTGACAGGCGCAACCCCTAAAGCCGTCGCGCCCTGCGCCCCCGCCCTTCCCCTACCACCGTTGATGCGCGTGCCCTGTCGTTCGTCGCGCGCACCCTGCTTCGTCGCTGTGCGCGCCTTTTTTTCGCCGCGTGCGCCTTCTTTTTGCCGTGCGCGCCCTGGTTTCGCCGTCGTGCGCCCTGCTTAGTGCCCATGCGCGCTCTATTCTCCCCTGGTTGCGCCCGCCCCGCCCCACGTGGCCGCCCTTCTTGTGGCCGCCCTTCCACTTGCGAGCGCCTCCTCTCCTCCCGCTGCGCTCTCCCCTTTCTCAATCCCCCCCCCCCTCCCTCACCCTCCTCCTTTCCACTCTCCTTTGTGCTTCAAGCACCACCTTAGTTCTTCCTCCTCCTATTTCCTCTCCTTCTCTACTACCCTTCCACACCATCCGCCCCTTCACCCTTCTCCTCCTCTCCTCTCTCCCTTCATTCCCCTCCCCATATCACTCTCTCTTCCGCCTCTCTTCTCTCGTCTACTGTCGCAGCTGGTTGCCGGCTTTACTTCGTCATTTTGCTCATCAATACATACCCCCCCTCACCATCTGCCCCTTCACCCTCCTCCTCCTCTCTTCTCTCCCTTCATTCCCCTCCCCATCTCATTCTCTCCTCCGCCTCTCTCCTCTCCTCTACTGCTGCAGCTGTTTGCCAGCCTTGCTTCGTAGCCGTGCTCCTTCCCCACTGTGTTCCTCCGCCTCTATTTTCTCCCCGAAGCGGCGCAGAAGCAGACTACTCCGCTGTTATCCCTCCTCCTCTTATTTCTCCCCACAGCGGCGCAGCAGCAGACTACTCCGCCATTATCCCTCCTCTTATTTCTCCCCTCACCGGTGCAGCAGCAGACTACTCCGCTGTTATCCCTCCTCCTCTTATTTCTCCCCACAGCGGCGCAGCAGCAGACTACTCCGCCATTATCCCTCCTCCTCTTATTTCTCCCCTCAGCGGCGCAGCAGCAGACTACTCCGCCATTATCCCTCCTCCTCTTATGTCTTTCTTCAACGGCGCAGCAGCACACTACTCCGCCGTTATCCCTCCTCTTATTTCCCCCCTCAACGGCTCAGCAGCTGACTCCCTCGTCCCTATTCCTCCTCCTCTTTTATCTCCCCACATATGCTCCATTGCTACCCCCTTCCCGCGATGGGGCCTATTCTCGCTCTTACCTCTCCTCCTCTGCGCTTCCGCCCTCACCCGTCTCCTGCCGTATCTCCTCTCCTAATCTTGCCTTTCTTAATCTCCGCTCCCTTCGCTGCCCCTTCCTCCCCTTGCACCTCTCCTACTTGCCGATGGACCTCCCCTCTTCTCCGCCCCTCTACTTGGCTTCCGCTGTCCCATCACAGTCGCCACTCTTGTGCCGTTGTCACCTCTGGTATTGGTTCTCTGGCCTCTGTCTTCAGTGTGACCATGCCATCCCTGGATAGCATCCTTGGTGCTCCTCCGCTCATGGACCCTCGTTTTGTCGTTCCACTTTCTCCACCCGTTCCCAGCACTGTCTCTCACTCTCCCAGCCCTACGGCTGCCGCTCTCTCACTTCCTCGCACCTTGGATTTTGTCCTTGATAGTGCTGCTACTGACTCTGTCTTCCGTGATGCTGGTGTCCTTTGCAATTTTCCTCGTCCCCTCTCTATCAATGGGGCTGGGGAGACCATGACCATGATCTGCACTGGCACTTCCTCTCTTCCCTGTCCTGCCTCTCCCTCTGGCGCTGTTACGGGACTTTATGTTCCCTCTTGCCGTCATAAACTCCTCTCCCTCCCTGCCCTCCAACGTCTGGGTGTGCGAGTGTTCTTCCCCGCAGGTGATCTCTATTGTGATCTTCATTACCACGACCGGCACCTCGCTCGTTTCACCCTTTCTCCTTCTACTCGCCTCTACACCCTTCGTGTTCCCATCCTCACATCTATCAATCACACTTCCTCTTCTTCTGCCCTTCCCGTCTCCTCTTGTGACTGTCGCTCTCTCACCCAACCTACCCTTCTTCCCCATCATCGCCTTGGCCACCCCAACTTCCCTCTCCTTCGCAGCATGGGCCATTTGAAGCTGCTTCATGATCTCCCTTCCTCTCTCCCGCCCCTACCCCCCTCTCCCGCTCCTCCATGCACCCCTTGTGTTCAAGCCAAGCTCTCCCAATCTCCTCATCCCTCGTCCCCTTCTGCCTCCTCCAAACCCCTTGATCTTGTGCATATGGACCTCTGGGGTCCCTCTCCCATTGCCTCTCGTCAAGGTCATCGTTACTTTCTCCTTCTTGTCAATGACCACTCTTGCTTTGCCACAGTCTATCCCCTCCGTGCCAAGTCTGACGCCCCCTCTCTCATCATTCGCTGGGCTGAGCAGGCGCCCCTTCACTTTGGCCGTCATGTCGCACGCCTCCACTCTGACTGTGGTGGCGAGTTCCTTAACCACTCTATCTCTTCTTACTGCTCCACTCATGGCATTCGCCAAACCTCCACCCTTCCGCATTCTCCTAAACAGAATGGTATTGCCGAGCGTTGTATTCGCACTCTCATGGAGATCACCCACTATCTCCTTACTCATGCCTCTGCTCCACACTCGCTTTGGAGCTACGCTCTTCTTCATGCCAATCTTCTTTCCAACCTTCGCCCTCATCCCCTTCGCCCTTCCATTACACCCTTCCAGCTCTGGACTGGCCGCCAGCCCTCCGCCCGCCTTCTTCGGGTCTGGGGCTGTGTCGCCCATGTCCTCATCAATCCCGCCGATCAAGCACGTCAGGGTGGGAAGCTTGCTCCCAAGACGCACCTCTGTGTGTTCATTAGCATCAACTCTGACTGTCCTGGCTATCTTTTCTATGCTTCCTCCTCTCAGCAGCTCATTCGCAGCCAAGATGTTATCTTTGATGAGACTCGTTCCCCTTTCCTCACCCCCCCTCCCACCCCTCCTCCTCCCTCTCTTCGTTGGTCTGACTTTGATCCGCTGCCCTCTGATACTCTCCCTCCTTCTCCACTACCTCCCGCCCCTGCTCCGCCTCCCCTCCCTGCCCCCTCCACCCCTCCCTCTGCTGTCATCTCTGGCCCCTCTCCTCCTTCCTCTTCCTCTTCAGCTCCCATGCCCTCTCCTTCACGACATCCTTCTCCTCTCTCTCCTTCTCCTGCTCCCCCACCTTCTCCGCGTCTCACCTGCTCCATGACACGTGCCATGTCCAATTTCCAACACTCTACTCTCTTGACTCGTCTCTCTCCCTCTCCAAACGTCGATCTTCTCGAGGATCGATTTGAAGAGCTGTTCTCTGTTCATCCCATTTCACCCCTCCTCCAATTTTCCCACACTTCTCTCCGTTGACACTGCCGCTATTCCCACCACTCATACTTATTCCGAGGCAGTGTCTGGCTTTCATGCAACAGAGTGGATGGCTGCCATGATTGCCGAGTGTGAGGCATTCACCAGAACTCAATCTTACGTTGACTCTGTTCCCCCCCCTGGCGCCACCATTGTCAAGGGCAAATGGGTCTTTCGTGTCAAACAGCTGCCTAGGGAGCTTCCTGTCTTCAAAGCCCGTTACTCTGCCAAAGGCTTCACCCAACGTGAAGGCATTGACTACTTTGCCACTTACTCCCCCACTGCCCGTCTCCCCACTCTTCGCCTCCTTCTTGACCTAGGTGCTCGCTGGGATTGGGAGAATCACTCTATGGATGTCTCCAATGCCCTTCTTCAGGGCGAACTTCATGAGCGTATTTTCCTTCAGCGCCCCGCTGGCTTTCCTTGCCCCTTCCCTCCAGGCACTGTCTGGGAGCTGAAGCACCCAGTCTATGGTCACAGCGTATCTATGATTGTGACAAACATCTTCGTGCTTGGCGGTCCAGGATCCGAGTAGCATGGCTTCACATTCTGTACCGCTGCGGAATTCCCAGGTTTGCGGGCTCATGAACGCCCCTATGGGGCGACGGTTCTACGAGCGGCGGGCTCGTTTGAAGGCAACAGGAGCTGGAAACCTGTCCCAGCGTATCTAGGATTCTGGCAAACACGATCGTGCTTGGCGGTCCAGGATCCGAGTAACATGGCTTCACATTCTGTACCGCTGCGGAATTCGCAGCTTTCCGGGCTCATGAACGCCCTTGTAGGGGGATGGTCCTTCGTGCGGCGGGCTCGTTTGAAAGCAATAGGAGCTAGAAACCTGTCACAGCGTATCTATGAGTGTGACATGTCAACGGGAGTTGGGTATTGGCCCCGTCCTTGCTTGGGCGGAGCCGACTTCGTGGTCGGGTGTGAGGGGAGCAGCCGGCCTTCAGCAGTGGGTGAGCTGGTCGACGAGGAGGTCGACCTGCACGGGGGACCACTGCACGGGCGCCGACTTCAGGGTGGCGCCGACTTCAGGGAGGTCGACTTGGGTGTCGACCTCCGGAGGACGTCAACTTGGTGACGTCAACTTGGGGAAGCCGACTTCGGCAGTCTGCTAACGGACTGCTGGTCGACCTGTTAGTGGTCGACTGGACCTGGTGGTCGACGAAGGAGGGGCCGACGTCGACCTCGACTCAGGACGCCGAGCAGTTGGGCGTCGAGTAGCGGGGCGTCAACTTCGTGACGCCAGCTTCGGGTGGCCGACGTGGGTGGTCGGCCGACGACTGTGCTGGTCGACGAGGAGCAGGTCGACCAGGTGTGCTGGTCGACGTGGAGCTGGTCGACCAGAGGGGATGTCGACCTGGAGGAGGTCGACCGATGGTGTCGTCGACCTGGTGAGGTCGATGTGGAGGTGGTTGTCGACTTGGGAGGTCGACGGGCACGTACGGGAGTTGCTGGTCGACGTGGTTGCCTGGTCGACCAGGTTACCTGGGTGACGAAGTGCTGCGGAGGAGTGTGACGGTCGCCCAGGCGAAGTTGGCGAGCCCGACCTCGGTGGTGGTATCCCGAGGTCGTCGTGGCGGATCAGAGGCAGTCGTAAGCTCGAGGTTGACGTGGTGTGTGCGCTGTGCAGGTGACAAGACCCTGCGCGCCAATCATATGCGCACAACTGCGAAGCAGGGTGCACTGCTGTCCTGCGTGAGCAACGCTGTCACGCCATCAACCTGCGACGTTGGCACGCCGTCGACCTTGCCTTGCTGGAGCGCGGTCGACGAAGTCGTGCTGGAACGCGGTCGACCAAGCTGCGCTGGCAGTTGGCCGACCTGAATGCTTGCTCTGATGTAGTCTTGCTATGCCAACTTCATTGTACCATTGTTCTGAATTTTTCCTAGTGGAACTCTTGCCAACTTTCCCCGTGAACTAGCAAGTAGTGTGCGCACAAGGAAAACGACTAAGGAACAGAGAACGCAGAGATCACACGAGCACACGTGCCTAGCCTGCAGTCTAGCTCCCGTTGTAGCAGTTATCTCCGCATGGTGCGGTGAGCGTGGAAGGCACACGACTTACCTTTCAGTCAGGTCGACATAGACACCACTTACCTATTTCGTAGTTGCAGGCCGGCAAATGTGCTGTAGTCGCTATGGTAGGAGCCGTAGGTGACGCGGGGGTGGTGGACACCCTAGAGGCACGGTTGGAGAACGCGAGGAGGAAGCACGAGGCCAATGAGTATGGCGACTTGCCCTGGCCGGTCGTCGAGGCTGGACTCCGCTCCATGTGGGTGACGGAGCACCTGTCTCGACCTGCCTCTCCTCGTCCGGTGAACAACGAAGGCGGCGTCGACGTGGGCGTCAACACCGGTGGTGGTCAAGTCGGCAGCAGTGCTGGAGGCACGTCGAGGCAAAGAGGTGTGATACACGCCGGTGAAGTCGGCGGCGTTCAGGCGCGAGGGATGCAGCCGTCGGCGGCTGCAGGCTCTTCGCGGGGTGACGTCGGAGGTCGACGGAGTGGGCTGTCGACGATGTCGGCATCCCAGGTGACGGCGGGTGGGATTGCACCGAGCTACGGCTACTTAAAGTTTACGCCGGACAGGATCTCGGTCACCCCTCCGCTGGTCGGTCGACCCGACATACTCACCTGGAAGGAAGCCATCGAGCCCCAGCTGGAGATGGCCGGGCTGATCGGCTTCGCCCGAGGGACCGTGGCGACGCCGGAGGAGCACCACCCCGACCTGCGTGCGGAGTTTCGCGCCGTGCAGCTGTTGACCTTCACGGTCATCTCGCGGTGCTGCTCGTCGGGCGTGCAGATCGCCTTGAAGTGGTGCCGGGAGTACCTCGACGCCGGCCACCGGGCGTGGCACTTCATTGAGTCGACGTACCAGGTCACCGACGACCTGTTCATCGCCCAGCTGGAGGGACAGCTGACACA